AATCATTAGAAGTTCTTTTGATTTTAACCCCTAAAATCACATCTGCTTTTCCAAGATCTTTCATTTCAAACTTAGAAGACAAAAAAATCTTAGTCTCATTAACAACAATCACATTAGGGCCAAATATTAACATGTCATCCACATACAAACATATAATAACACAATCTGATCCTATCATCTTGGAATAAACACAAATATCAGATGCATTAACAACAAAACCATTATCCACTAATGTGATATTAAACTTTTCATACCATTGCTTATGTGCCTGCTTTAGACCATAAAAGACTTTCTCAATTTGCATACTTTATTCTCCTGTCCTTGGATCATAAATCCCTCAGGTTGAGACATATAGATCTCTTCCTCTAAATCACCATTTAGGAAAGCCGTTTTAACATCCATTTGATGTATTACTAAATTATGAATAGCGGCTACAACAACAAGAGTTCTAATAGTCGCTATCTTAATCACAGGAGAATAAGTATCAAAGTAATCAATGTCTTTCTTTTGGCTAAATAGATTGACACTAATTCATCACTCAAAACATCAAGATCAGTATTTTTAGTCAAGAAAGTAATAATAAAGTCAGGACCAAAGCTAGCTTCAATTCTACGCCTCTTGCTTCTTCTAAGGTTATTTTCATGCTCATTAGCAGTAACACAAGAAGAAGGCACAATATGAGAATTAACAGGCATAAATGTAGAAGCATTATTAGTCACATCACCAGGCACATTATTTTTCAATGTAAAAACATGCTCAAAAAATTCTGCATCTCTAGATTCACAAATAGAACTATCATTCGAAGACATAAATCTATATGCAGCACTATTTTGAGCATAACCAATGAAAATAACATTAAAAGTCTTGGGTCCAACAGTTACTTGTTTAAAATCAGGTAGACCAACCTTAGCCAAACACCCCCACACTTTCAAAAATTTTAAGTTAGGGGCAAACCCTTTTCGTAACTCATATGGAGTTTTATCTAACTTCTTATGAGGGACTTTATTAAGAACATAGCATGCAGATAAAACAGCTTCCCCCCACATATTATCAGATAAACCCGAACTCAAAAGCATAGAATTCATCATTTCCTTAAGGGTTCTATTTTTCCGTTCAGCTACACCATTTTGTTGGGGAGTATAGGGAGCACTAACCTCATATATAATACCATTTTTCTCACAAAAGGCTTTTAGGGTATTAGTACTATACTCACCACCCCTGTCAGACCTAAGTCTCTTGATTTTTCTGTCTAATTGATTCTCTACTTCTGCCTTGTATTAAAAACATGCTTTCAGCCTCATCTTTTGACTTAAGAAGATATACCTTAGTGTATCTAGAAAAGTCATATACAAAGGTGATGTAGTATTTCTTTACACCCTTACTAACAGTGTTCTTGAAATCTATTAAGTCTGAATGTACTAGTTCAAGCAATTATGTTTTTCTACTTGTTATATTTTTAAGAGGCTTTTTGGTATGTTTTGCTTCTATACAAACAGGACACCTAGAATAATTATCAACATTAACTGCAGGAATCAATTCTATTTTTCTAAGTCGTTTAATAGAAGCAATATTAACATGACCTAGTCTACCATGCCACAAATCAATAGATTCAGCAATATAAGCAGAATTGAAAGTACTAGCATTATTAGTAATGTCTTGAGCGATGTTCAGTATAAATAAACCCTTACTAAGGTAACCCTTCCCAACAAAGTCTCCCCCACGAGAAATAACAAGTTTATCAGATTCAAAAATAAGTTTAAGACCTACCTTGTTGAGAAGCGCACCAGAAACTAAGTTTCTACGAAGGGAGGGTACATACAGAACATTGTTCAAAGCTAAAGTTTTTCCAGAAGTTAATTTAAGAAGAGTTTTTCCTTTACCCATACCCATGTAGACACACTCGCCATCAGCAGATTTCTCAAAGTCGTAAAACAACTCTTTGTTGGCGTAAAGATGCCTTGAAGCGCCTGTGTCCAGTATCTAGTCAGTCTTGTTAGCCACCATATTTGCCTCAACAACCACAACAACAATGACATCACCACCCTCAGTAAGGTTGGCTTGTACTGGAGCTTTTCCTCCATTCTTTGAGCTTTGTCCTTGTCTCTGGTTGCACAGAAAAGCCTTGTGACCAATTCTGCCGCAGACATAGCAAGGTCCTTTCGACTTTTGAATATGGCCCTCCGGCTTATTGAAGTAATTCTGCTTTTTCACATGTCCTTTCTTCTGGCCTTTCTTCTGTTTTTCTTTAAACCTGTCTTTCACAAAAGTACTAGAAGATTCCACAAGGTTAGCTTTAGAAGAATTAAGAGAGAGAGATTTCATAATCTTATCCTTAAGCCGTTCAGACTCCTCATCTTTGAGACGGTTTGCTTCCTCAGTCCTCATGTGACTGATCAGTTCTTGAAGAGTTAAGTTTTTCTTCTTGTGCTTCAATTGATTCCTGTAATCACTCCAGGAAGGTGGAAACTTTTCAAGCAGAACATTAGCCTGAAGAACCTCACACATCTCCATGCCCTCGTTCAAAACATCAGCAGTCAAGTTCTCATACTCGTGAACCTGTTCTATAATTGGCTTATCATCAACCATTTGAAACTTGATCCACTTTCCAACGACATACTTCTTTTTTCCCACGTCATCAGCACCATATTTCTTCTCCAAACTGTCCCATATGACTTTAGCAGATTTATAATTTATAAACAAATCAAATAGAGAGTTAGTCATATGGTTAAGCAGATGCCCTCTCACTGTTTTATTATCCTTTTCAAATTTATTCTTAGCAGTATCATCATCGACAATAATATAAGCATCATTAGAACTATCAGCAACAATATCAGTAGGAGGATCGTTAAACAAAACATAATCAACTTGTAATTGTTCAAAGAAAATTAAAAGTTTTTGGGACGAACGCGTATAATTATTTCCATCTAAAGGCTCAAGTTTTGACAGATCAGGAAATATTTTGTTCGAAGTGGTGGACATTAGTCAATATTATATATGAAATCGCTTTCAAATTGTAGGAAAAATGAGTAGATAATATTGACTAAGAACAAGAAGGAAAGAAGAACAATTTATCAAAAATACTGTGTCGTGGCAAGCCATTGCCATGAAAGCGATTTCGGCCCGACTAGGTGCAACTCGTTAAGGCCGGTGGCTCCCCAAGGTTCCACAGCACCTCCAAACACGTGCACTCGTGGCTGGAAGTTTAGAATTTGCACAAAAGAGTTGCCCAGAAAGAAGAGAAGATGAAGGTATTTTCTGTAATTGTTACAGAAATTAAAGAATGTTGTATGAAGAAAAGTAATGATTAGCAAGATGGATTCTTTGTTAAGATGGAGTGATTATGATGCCTAATCCATAATCTATTTATTGGCAATTAAGGAGGTTGCATGTATGACAAGTGTCGAGAGTCTTTTGACACTTGTCTCATTATATTAGTCCACTTGACTCCAATATTGACAAGTGTATCTTGTCTTCCATGCATGAAGACATATGGTAGATTTGCGTAGCTATTTGTCAAAGCCATTCAACACTTGACTTTAAGGCTTCATGTAAGAGGCCACTTGGAAATAGATAGGACATAAAAAACTCATGGCTATTGGTTGTAAATGAAATTTCAAAAAGAAATTTTTAACTTTACATTATGAATAATTCCAACAACATTAACCTCCCAGACCATTTGTGGGATTATAAAATAGTTTAAAGCAAAATAAAAATGGGAAACACCAAAAAAGTAAAGGAAAAATAGAAAAGAAAATAGAAGCATAGTGGAAACTGGAAAGTGAAGTGTCTGTAATGACCAAAATACCCTCATATAATTGAAGTAGAAAGTCGAAACCTGAAGGGGATTTTGAACTTAGGGAAAAGGGCCAGATATACCCCTGTACTATAAAAAATTGTCCACATATGTCCTCCGTTATACTATCGGTCTAAATCTATCCCTCCCGTTAGCAAAGTAATACAAATTCCCTTATTTCTAACGGTGTTCCATCATGGCAATCCAAATCCTATATGGTCTCTGGCATTTGGGTGAGGTGGATGCCACGTGGCATGCCACCTCACCATCTTCCCCTTCCATTTTTTCTTCCCCTCATACCTTGAAATGGAGGTTCCAAATTCATTTTCTTTTAAATTTGGACAAAGTTACTGTTAATCTCCGAATCTAACACGAATAAATGATTTCCAAAAGACTTAAAGAACAAATCACAAAACCCAATGACAAAATTATCTGAAGCTTTTTCCTTGTGAGAGGAGATTGATACAAGTTTGGAGAACCAAATTTGCTCAATACTTATTTATACCTGAAGCTTGTTAACACATGTATTCCTTGGCCGAGTTAAATCATAGAAGTAAACATTTGCATCTTCACTTCCAGCAACTTCAATTGTTAGAAGAGATAAGTTTTTTTTTGCTATCTTGCCCATGTTTTGTTGATTCATAGTGGTAGAGAATAATCTTTTTTTTTTTTAAAATATATAGTGAAGATTTGGGAAATAAAGTTATGCTCAGTGGAGGAAAAGTCGTTAATTAAATGAGCTCACGGAGAAGGCTTTAATCTTTATTTGCTTAAGATTTGATTTTTTTCAGAATGACAAAGAATTATCTAAACATTGCTCAGATTTTGTTTTTGGGAATAAAATGGGCCATATTTTTGTTTGTTAAGGAGAAATGGAATGGGAAGAAGATGGTGAGGTGGCATGCCACGTGGTATCCACCTCACCCAAATGCCAGACCATGTAGCATTTGGATTGCTATGGAGGAGCACCGTTAGAAATAAGAGTATTTTTTATTACTTTGCTAACGGGAGGAGTAGATTTAGACCGATAATATAACGGAGGACATATGTAGATAATTTTTAATAATACAGGGGTATATCTGGCCCTTTTCCCTTGAACTTAAAATATGGTGAAAGTGACAACAGTACTTGCGATTAATTTACAGTCCTTGGAGCGTGACAGCGTGTCACCCAAGTCATACTTCATTTTGGCAACGGCGGTATAATGGAAAATTTTCAATTTATAACAAGCTCGACACTACTTAATAGCCACTTTGAAGGAACCCTACGTTTTCGTTATTTCCAGGAAAGTTGAAGAGAAAGACGAAGATTAACAAGGTAAAAGGCTCTGAATATCCTTTTTCAAATCTCTATAATGGATTCATTATCTGTATTATCACGTATTTTTGCGCAAAATTCATGTAGTGTTAAGGTTTTGATCGTAAAAAAGAGAGAATTTTAATGATGTAAGTGCTTTTTCTTTGTGTACATTGTCTCGGCCAAAAAAGGGGATCAGTTTGTTTGATTGGTAATCCGTGTGTTTTGACTTTTGCAGGCAATTTTGAATTCGGATTTTCACGCATCTAAAGATGGTACGTTTAGCATTAATCGCTTTCTGAGGTGTAGGGTTAGGGTTTTGAGTTCTAATATGTTGTGTTATGAAGCTCTAATTTATATTTTTCTTTCTGTCTCAGCTTCCGCTCTCGTTGCTCAAGACTGCACAGGGGCATCCCATGGTAAGCTTTTGAACCCCCCCCCCCCCCCCCCCCCCATGTAGGGGAGGTCGCATGTCTTTTTTTTTTTTGGGTTTCTAGTTTTATTGTTTATTCCAATCTAAGTCTTTGGGAGATGTAATGCAGTTAGCTCAATTAGGTTTCGAGAGTTCTGCATGTTTTGAATGAACCTGAACTTAATGAATAAAATAGTTTTATGAATTCAGATGTGCAACTCTAGTTGATCGTGAAACTAAGAGCGAGAGAATAACAACAATCGGCCCTTATTTTGTCCTTCTGTTAGCTGACGCTTTTCAGCTAACATTATCAAAGGCAATAGATTTTGTTTCAGTATAATTTATCAGTTTCTGCATGTTGGTATAGTATCTTAAAAATAAACCTCAAGTCTCTGCATATTCCACACACTTTTGATTACTTGCTTGTATTCATTGAATTATCACAATCTGGAAACTCTCTTTTTTCCTAATACAGTTGGTGGAGCTAAAAAATGGAGAGACTTATAACGGACATTTGGTGAATTGTGATACTTGGATGAACATCCATCTTCGTGAAGTCATCTGTACATCAAAGGTAAGTCGGCTTTCCGTTTTAATGTTATTGTAGGTTTTCCCATGTATTGGTGGTATAATGGCACCTGATTTCTTAAAAATTAATGCAGGATGGAGATAGATTTTGGAGAATGCCAGAATGTTATATTCGTGGCAATACCATAAAGTATCTTAGAGTTCCTGACGAGGTTAGTTTATTTTTTTCGTTGTTATGATTAGTAATGCCTCTGTGTAGTATTATTTGTTTTTCACTGCCAATAGTGTGTATGGCACTCTTGGACCTTGAACCAAGTGGTCAAAGGCCTGTGCGCCTATCTTGTAGTTATATGTATCATTAAATGGTTGCTTTGCTTGGGTGATTGTAAAATTTATATACTATGAGGTAAGCTTGCCTTGCATTGTCTGCTTATTAGGAAAGAGAGCAGAAAAGCCACAGAGAACTGGGGAGAGAAAGTTCAAGGAAGGATCAGCAGTAAAACTTGTCTTCCAAAGTTCACTAACTGATAATTTAAACTAATGATTTGCCAACTCTAAAGAAGTCTAAGCAATAATAACTGGTGGGAACCTAAGTTGCTCCGACATGGCAGTTTAGGTGCCGCACCCGTGTCGACACGACACTAGTATGGGTGTGGGTATGGGATCCGTACCGGATCTGGTCAAATAATTTTGGGTACTTTGACCATGGTGGACGGAAAAATTGAGACAAGAATCACAAGATACAATTTGATTCCCAAAATCAGAACCAATACTAGGGTAAATTGGAAAAAAATGGCATACCTTATCTAGGAAATCAATCTTTTACTTATCTACAACTTGAGAATAAAAAAGAAATGCACACTTTACTAGTTATACTTAAGTATTCCACAACACTTCTCATAATTTAGAGATATTTTTACTTTTTTGAATTATTTTTAGCCGGATCCCCGCACCCGTATCCGTACTAGGATCCGTATCCCAGAATGTTACAGTTTACATCTACAAGTATCCGACATCTAGATCCGCACCCGTGTCGGACACCTGCACCCGTATCCGAGCAACTTAGGTGGGAACCAAAGGTTGAAACTTCTAGCACAACTCTAATCTTACTAAGGCTAATCCCCATAATCATGTTGCCTCTTTACTATTGATAACATAGACTTCTTTAAAAGAAATTATTAGCGTGGATGGAACATTAGTGTTTTAGATGTGGAACCTGAGTGTTTTTTTCAGATAAGATGTGTAACCAAATGGTTTTCAAATAAGATTTGGAACTTAGATCGTGGAACATAGATCATTCCTTGTTTTTATTTATTTTCCACTATTACTGGCTTATTTTATATCAGATATCCTATACTAGAAAAAGATAAAAAGTGTTAGAAATCATAAGGTTGAACCATTATTGACATTGTTCTTGCTTGCATGGCTGTAGTTCACTGTATATTCGTTTCCCTGTGAGTTACATTTCTGTTAGAGGAGGTGTGAATACTCTGGTGTGATGCAGTTTAGCCAAATCAGACGTAGTTGTGCGTCCTAAGGGCCATTGAATCTGACACCTTAGGTAGAAGTGCAATTCTATGAAGATGACAATGCGAGTTTGTTTAGTGCTGACCCGAGCTTTCTTGTGAAATCCACCCCCTTGCAATTTTGTGCTAAATAAAACAGCAGTGCCTGCTTTCTGCTTTTACTTGCTTCTTCTAGGGCGGGTTATGCACTGCTCTGTTATTTCATAATTCATGACAGGCACACATGGGAAGTTATCCTAACCTTGTGATGTATCTCTCTCTCTCTCTCTCTCTCTCTCTCTCTCTCTCTCTCTCTCTCTCTCTCTCTCTCTCTCTCTCTCTCTCTCTCTCTCCACGTGCTCGTGTGTCCGCATTCCACACACACGCATAGTGGATTTAGGACTAGCCTGAGATTCTGGAGCTTAGTTGCACTTCCTTTTTTCTTGATCTTTTATAGGAGTACCAAGAAACCATCTTTTCCTTTTGTCTGTTAGCTTTTTTTTCAACTTTTATTTGCTATCCTCTTTTGTCATTCGTCTTGGCCTTCACTTTTATGCTAGGAAGAGATGGAAGGACAATGATGTTTGTCAAAAGCTATTAACCATGTCTGTACAGTTCCCTTAGTTTGGTTGGAGGTGGAGTCAAGATACTAGATAGTCTTGGTGTGACCGTACTCATGGAGCTATTTGTCGGATTAATCATTTATTCGAAACCAAAGCATGTAAAAGGAGAGATGAACTTGTTATAAACCTTCCCCAGTGTACTTTTAGGGCTGCAGTTTGTGCTATTGTAAATTGAAGTCATGATACTAGCTTCTCTCTGTGCGTCTTCCTTCCACACACATATTTAATTGGTTTAGGAATTGCCTTGATTTTTGGAGCTTAGTTGCATATCCTTTTGTTGATCTTTTAGGAGTATCAGGAACCATCTTTTCCTAGTGTTTATTTGTTTGTTTCCTCTGTTAGATGCTTTTCTTTTTGTTTAATGGCTAGAAAAGTGAGAGACGGAAAGGATGTTCGAAAGCAGCCAGTATCCTAGTTTGTTGTAGCTCTTCCTTTGTTTGGACACACGGGTAGGGGGGTTTGAAGAGGAGAGGTAAGGGAGAGGAGTGTTCATGAGCAGCTAGCATTTTCTTGAAACAAGGTCATTAAGTTGAGTGGTTCTCCTTGTCAAAAGGGGAAGTCTTTGGGGAATACAGTTCAATTGATGTTAAGAGTATGTAAATGTAATTCATGTTGGATCACTTGTTTACACATAATGATTTGGCTGTTGAGACTTGTGTCAGTACCGGGTAGCATCATGTGTTCTTAGCTTGTGAGACTTTCCTAATTGATGTATAATGTTCACAACAGATTAACAGATACGAAGTGTGTCGAAACCATAATTAGGTAGCTTATGAGATTTGATGTTTACCAAACATGCACACATCATTATTGTGCTGTAGTGAATGTAAAATGAAAGCTTCCTATATCCCTTAAGCTGTGAATCGAAGCTTCACTTTCTCACAAAAATGGAAAAGATTGCAGTTTGCCTTTACTTTTATTCATGAAATAACTGCAGTATTGCAACTTTAGTTTCTGAGAGCTTAGGCTTTGTAGGTATTGTTTTTGTGTGTGTATATGTATTCCTACATATGGACATATATACATGTGTTTACTGGTTGGAATAGTTCATTTTTATCACTGGGGTTGGAGACTGAGTTCACAGTAAATTATAAATTCTGGAAGCTTGGTCTGCCCTTGGCTCTTTGTTTGACCGAGTTAATAATCCCTCTTAGTGCTGTTTGGTTAACTATACTATTTGCGTTCTTTTCCAGGTGATTGATAAAGTTCAGGAAGAAGCAAAAAGCCGTGCAGGTACTACTTTGGACTAGTAATTTTCAGAAAGCTTATAACCATTTCTATTTTAGCTGTTGGATCAATATGGGGTTTGTTCATCATACAATTTTTTCCTGCTCGCATAGGACTAGTTTCTCAACATTCAACTTAATTTTAGGTATATTAATTGTTTCCTCCAACCAGAAGTTGTAGATCCAATGCATGTGTATAATGAAAAGAATATTTAATTTTCAATTCAAGTATAATTTGGTGGGAATCAAATTGAAATAATATTTTAGATGTTTTTCAAGAAAATGTTAAAAAGTAAAAATATGAGATAATACATGAGAAGGGTGTGGAAGATTATTAATTTAACCTCATGATATTGTAAGAACATTACTTGTAAAAGAGACGAAGATAGTTAATAAGGGATGTTGAGGCTTTATAAAATATATAGATTATTAGGCTTTTGGCTCCTTCTCATCTCGATAATATAGAGCTTCCCACATGGTAATCTTGGCATGGCATGGTGACATGTTGTGTTACATGGATCCTCCATTTACTTACGACGATTGGTGTTGACACAATATGACACCACACCAATGCTACTCTGTGGTGGGGAAGGGTCAAGAAGTTCCTTTTGTCCAATCTAAGTTTCTCATTAAAATTGTACTTCTGAACTGTGTTAATCTATTAGGCCATATTATTGACCTGTCATACTGGTGGATAAATAGAACTTTGGATCACATTAACATGATCTTTGATGGAATGTGGATATTGGGGATCATTAATGTGTTTGGCGGGATTACTTATTGGTTCATCTTATACTTGCAAGTCATTAACTTTGCGAAGTCGGTAGATTAAGTAAACAGTGCATGTGTTTTAATAATAACATGCATCTTTTATTTTGCCTCTTTTTTAGAGAACCTTCTACTATGCATGAACGTGCTCTTGCTCCATGTTGGTTAATTCCATAATATAGTATCTTGTTAATTTCTTTTGATTTACTCCATATGCTTTTGCAGATAGAAAACCACCTGGTGTAGGAGGACGAGGAAGGGGAAGAGGTAGGGATGAAAGTGTTGCTGGTAGACAGGCAAAAGGCATTGGGCGTGGAATGGAAGATGCAGGTGCCAAAGGCCGGGGCAAAGGAGGACCTGGTGCCAAGTCTGGTGGAAAAGGTATGAAGTGTTCAATGAAAGTTTATACCTAATTTTGTGCTTATTCTCTTAAAAGTTTATGATATCCCTAAGTTTCAATTCGAGGCCTTGCATTTCTATGTGAGATATTTTATTCATGCAATGCATTTATATCTAGCAATACACCTAATAAGCAGATTAAGGAGACTGACTGCCATGTCAATGCTTGAAACAGTCTCCTTGGAAGAAGTTTCTAACAGTCATCAAGTAATTGAGAACTCGCCATTTATAGCCATTTGCTAATCAGATGATTCTGGATCGGATTTCTTTTACAGGTGGAGGCCGTGGACGTGGCTAGTCATCTTCATTTAGAGGCAATGAAGCCAGATGACAAGTGTCACTTTAAAGGCATATTAGATATGTTGTATCTAATTTTGTTTCTACTGCCAAATTATGAAGGTGGTTCTTGGAGGAAAGGCTGCTTCCAGTTAATTTGAGATGGGAGTGTATTTAGGCTTGAAATGCTCAGTCTCGGATTGATCAGTGCTTTTTCTCTTTTAAGTGAAGAAAAATGTAAGCGAGCTCGTGTCTTGAAAATATTTGGCCATCAGTATGTGTGTAATCTTAAATGAAAACTAAACTGTTGCGAT